AGGGAGGGCAACAGCATGGTCATTAGAGAGAGTAACATCGCCATTAGGGAGGGTAACAGCGCGGTCATTAGAGAGGGTAACATCCCAGCCATTAGGAGAGGTAACAGCGGCATTAGGGAGGGTAACAGCACAGCCATTAGAGAGAGTAACATCGCCATTAGGGAGGGTAACAGTGTGGTCATTAGAGAGGGTAACAGCCCAGCCATTAGGGAAGGTAACAGCGGCATTAGGGAGGGTAACAGCACAGCCATTAGAGAGAGTAACATTGCCATTAGGGAGGGTAACATCGCCTTTAGGCAAGGTAACAGCACAGCCATTAGGGAAGGTAACATCGCCTGGGGGTGGGTGGGGGTAACAGCACAGCCATTAGGGACACAACTAAAAGGTCGGTAACATCACAACCATTAGGAAGGGTAACAACACAGCCATTAGGGGGTGTACTAGGGAGGGGAAACATTACGACCATTAGAAAGGGTAACTACACCGCCATTAGGGGGTGTACTAGGGAGGGTAACAGCATGACCATTAGGAAGGGTAACAACACAGCCATTAGGGGGTGTACTAGGGAGGGTAACATTACGACCATTAGAAAGGGTAACTACACCGCCATTAAGGGGTGTACTAGGGAGGGTAACCATGAAGGAGGGTAACAACACAGCCATTAGGGGGTGTACTAGGGAGGGTAACCATGAAGGAGGGTAACAACACAGCCATTGTATAAAACACCTGGTACTGGATCTCAATAACTTGGGAAATCCACAAAGTAAATAATTTGTGTTGAATTCTGTCAGAACTAAGACAGATCAATTGACAAGCATGCATGTGATGTCAGATTGTGGAGTTAATTACTGAGGAGTAATTCGTGAAACCCATCAACTGATGTCTGGGTCGGTTGTAAAATATCTACATTCTAGTTACCCTCACTCTAACCAATCAAACTGGGTTTAACATCAGTCTATGAACCATAACCAATCAAACTGGGTTTAACATCAGTCTATGAACTATAACCAATCAAACTGGGTTTAACATCAGTCTATGAACTATAACCAATCAAACTGGGTTTAACATCAGTCTATGAACTATAACCAATAAAACTGGGATTAACATCAGTCTATGATGACAGGGCACCTTCAGACTTGCCGGTCGGGGTTTCGATCCCTGGTGTGAGCAAATAGGACTTGGAGATCGGGGGGGGGGGGGCCTTCTCAACCTGGTGGATTTACTCCAGGTTGTCTAGTTTCCTCCCACAGGCAAGATGCTGCACGTCGCTAAGATAATAAAGTAGGATAATTTATCTGTGATATCACCTTTAGTGGAAGCGAAAGTAAAGCATCGCACACAACAACAAGAATAAACAGACCAAAGGGGAGAGAGAGAGAGAGAGAAATGGGGTTTAACGTCTACTCGACACAAACCAGGTCATTTCGGGACTAACACATGGTTCAATTTTATTTCAATAATTCGCTAGGGCGTAGGGGTCTTTAGCAGTGGGAGGAAACCGGAGGACCCGGAGAAAACCCATGAGGTTGGACAGACGACCCTACTCCTTGTCACGTACAACCAGGGAATCGAAACCCCGCCAGTTGACTCAATGACAGACCGTATGATACAGCTTGTGCATGCTAACCATTCGGCCATCAAACCCTCCAACAGACCAAAAGAGACTTGGAAATTTGATGGTGTTTAAAGGCAACGTGCGTACAGGACCTTAGTTTATAGTCCCCATGCAAAGGGGACATGGGTTGTGACCATGCCCTCCCTTTGGCCACACCCTTCCCTTTGGCCACACCCTCCCCTCAAAATAATTCCTAACTACAACTAGGTTATATATTAAAATAGATTTGTATTAATTTTAACAGATAATTGCAGACCAACACTCCTTCTCAACAGTTAGAAAACTTTCTAATGTCTCCTGGTGTCGACCAAGAAAGTTCAATGAGATTATCTGATGTGGTTTCGCCTTGTCAGTGGTGCAGGACGGAGGGCCTGACAAGGACACCTATCTAGTCATTCAGATGGGATAAAAAAAACGAGGTCCCGTGTACACATTGGCGTGCACATAAAAGATCCCTTGACAGTTGGAATTTGATATAAGAGTAGGCCATAGCACTGCTGTACGAGCAAAATTTCCCTCACAGCACACTGCATGGCCTGTGTCTGTCTTCATTAGCCCAGTCATTTCATTTCTAATATTATGCCAACCTTCCCTCCAATTTCAAAATTCTGGATATACCAGTGCTCAATATGAAAATCTGAATAATGCCCCTGCTCAATCTGAAATTCTGAATAACGCCACAGTTCAGTCTGAAATTCTAGGTACAGCACTTCTCAATCTGAAATTCTGAATTATGCCCCTGCTCAATCTGAAATTCTGAATAACGCCGCTGTTGAATCTGAAATTCTGAATAATGCCCCTGTTGAATCTGAAATTCTGAATAACACCCCTGTTGAATCTGAAATTCTGAATAACACCCCTTTTGAATCTGAAATTCTGAATAACACCCCTGATGAATCTGAAGTTCTGAATAACACCCCTTTAGAATCTGAAATTCTGAACAACTGTACTGCTCAGTCACAAATTCTGGATACGCCAATGCTCAATCTGAATGATTTTATTTTCATTTGATTTAATTTGATTAATTTGGTAGAAATGTAGAATTGTGAGTAGGTGAAATTGATTCTATTGTGCGTAATACATGTAATCGTGATGGAGAATAATAAAGGTTATTTCACCATATTGATTGGTTGTTGTCAATACAGGTAATAGTTGATTGGTTGTTGTCAATACAGGTGATTGGTGATAATAATTATAAATCAATAATAACAACAGTATTTATACCCTCTCAATAAACAATATATGATTGTTTTAATTGTTCCAAGGGTGTGGGGCAGGTGGGGGATGGGTGGTCCTAGGCGAGTGATTAGATCATATAAGGTCTGTCATTGAATCAAATGGCAGAGAATGAGAAAGAGAAATGCTGTTTAATGTTCACTTGCACGTAGGGGTCTTTGGCAGTGGGAGGAAATCGGAGGACCCGGAGAAAACCCACGAGGTTGAACAAGCGACTCTACTCCTTGTCACATACAACCAGGGAATTAAAACCACTCCAGTTGACTCAATGACAGACCTTATGATGCAGTGTGCGCGTGCTAACAATTCGGCCAACCAACACCCCCGTCAACTGTCAGTCTATATAAATAAATTCAAAGTGAGTATGTATGTTTGCCCATCATGGTTCTTCGCCGTGATCCTGTGATGTTTCCGGCCATTGAATTTGAGCCCTGACAAATTGGGTCCTGACAATTAGGCCCCCTTGCGAATTGGGCCCTGTGCCTATGTGTGGTATCAAATTAAGCAGCATGATCCTGTGAATTTCTTTTGCTATCGTATTTAGGTCCCCTGGCGAATTAGGCCCCTATGCAAATTTGGGTCCCTACAGAGCCAGGTAACTTGCTAGTATACAATAGTACTATTACAAGTAAAAATACCAATATATTATTGTTTTCATTGTTTCTGGTTGGTTGGGTGGGTGGTACTTCGCAAGCTCTTAGATCATAAGGTCTGTCACTGAGTCAAGTGGCAGTGGGTACAGTGGGTATCAGGTGGTCTATATAGAGTGGGTATCGGGTGTTCTAGATAAAGTGGGTATCAGGTGGTCTAGATAAAGTGGGTATCAGGTGTTCTATATAGATGTTTAAAGTCACATGACACTGTGTAAAGTCACAGGACTTGTAACATATAGATGTGTAAAGTCACATGACTTCTATCTCACCTGGTAAAGTCACATGACTTCTGTCAAATGCAGTGTAAAGTCACATGACTTGTGTCACATCATATTAAACATACATTATGCAAGAGCTAACTCTGCCTATCGCAGGTCTTTCTTTAGGCCTGAAATATGTTATCTGAATTATTATTTAGACATTTATTAACTTATCCAGACCATAATCAATTTCGATGCCTTCACTAGTCTGCGATATTTACTGGATTAGGATCCAATTTGTTGCTAAACTTTCATTCATGATTAAATCATGAAATGGATAATCAAGACTATATTTTTTATTTATCGACTTTAGATCGAGGTTAGGCCGAAAATTCAATCGCTAAATTCTTGGTTCAGAGTGGATCAATTTGACTGAAATTTTCAGCAAATTCCCTTTACATTATCTAGTTTTTATCTATTATAGTGAGAATTGCCAGCTCTTTATCTAATCTCCCATAATGTATCTTTTAGTCATGTTACTTCAATCACATCTAGCCATGTACAGTCACATGACTTGTCACATGACTTCAGTCACATATTTTTTCTACAAGATATATATTGAGTTTTAAGTATGTGATTTTATTTTCCTGTTAATTAGAAAATGCCATTTTCTGATAAGAATTAAAATAATTTTATTCATCTGGAAGGAATAATATCATTGATTGTTCAATAGAGATTAACAACAGACAAATATAAATAAAAAAAAAACTAGGCCAAAAAATAAATCATTTTTACAAGAACAAATATTCTCTATTTGTAAGAAAAAAAATGATTCCCAGACAAATAAAATTCAGTGCATAGTGTTAAATAACAACAGGTATACAACAAGAACTCAATGAAAATATTAACTGGCTTAAACTATAAATACTAAATATAACCTAGTGTATTTCCATGGCAATGACAATTATACTGTTAAACTATAGACGATAAACCACCTTGCTGTATATAGATACCTATATACCACAGTTTCCGATTTTACCGTCATAAAACAAGGTATGCATTATACTATGTAACTCCCATATTAACTCATCTATACCACATGTTGGCATTTATCAATATTATTGTAAATGAAAACACGTTTTAAAAAAACCCTGGTCATTATGCCTGATAATATATATTCAACATTGTTCGCAATATGCACAGTGTATTCGTTCTAATATCATAATATTGCCCCGGGATTATACTCATATACCATAACGATATACCCCGATAAGGAGGATGTTCAAATAATCTTACCTATGATGTCTTCCACGAGCTCACCATCGAGTTCTTTAACCGTGAAGAGAAGATGTATTCCACAGAAGGCGAGGGAAGGTCACAAGAACGGGAATGGCAGCAGCACCATGGAACAGTCTAAATTCGGGATTCCATACATAATACGATCCGCAATCCCAGGCAATAGGAATAGTCTATTATGGCACCAAGGGTGTAACAGCTAGTAATATTATAAGCTCGGTAATTGTACTCTGATGTACGCCGAGTCTATTATGGAACCAAAGGTAGACCAGCTTTACATTATGTTAGACGAGTTTATTATTACGGAAGACGTGATGTTGGCACCATTCCATTGTCGGTATATATTATTTTTAGTGCGCGTGCTATATTTTTTTGTATTTAAATATAAACAGGTGTTTATAGTGTTTTCTATGATAATATTATTATTACATACACCGATATTTTCATATTGCATAACTGACGAGTTCGTGACATACTTTATTGTCATTGTTAATTCATTCCAATGTCAGTGTTGTTTTAAATAATGAAATAAAATGAAATGAACCATGGTTTTTTTTCTACACCAACTGGGCTAATGAATATGTGGCCTGTCCAACCTCGTGGGTTTTCTTCGGGTCCTCCGGTTTCATCCCACTGTTAAAGACCCCTAAGTGCAGGCGAATTATTAAAAAAAATTAAACCGTATGTTAGTCCCAGTCTCTCTCTCTCTCTCTCTCTCTCTCTCTCTCTCTCTCTCTCTTTCGTGAAGATTAAATTGACATATGGGTGATTATCCCATGGGTGTGCAAAGTTGAATGTTTTTGTGTCACTCGAGTTTTTTTCTGTTTTTTTTCTTAATATTGCATGTAACTCCCCTTTATTTTTACAGAAAATTCGGATAAGAAATTTGGATTTATTTAATAGTTTATACATTTTATAAGATCAGACATGTGAGAGCTGCGGCCCGGTGGGTATGCTTTTCAATGTCACTACTACATGTATTTTTCAAATTGTTCTTTACTATATTGATCAAAAAACTAATCATGCTAATCGGGGCGCATAAGCATCTACTAGATCTATTGTCAGATTCGGTATACAACAGAGTCGTTAGGTATGGTTGTAGAATCTTTAAAATTCAAATTTTAAATTGTCACTATCAAAATGCTCAACACCGTAACACTGATAGTTTTTCCGCAATATAACTTATCTACTGAGGCGAGGGTCACTTCACCACGTGCCACCAACCATCTCTGTCAGTCTGGCCTGTCCAGCTTGAAAACAGCTCTGTGAATATTATAGAGTTAAAGGTAAATCCAATCAAAGTTCTGATTTTGCTCGCGTGTATTAATTCATAATCAACACCGTAACGTGGTTTTCTTGCATTTGTAGTCGATTTGATGAGAAACAATGTATATATTTGAATTTGAAATGGTGTACCGATACCTAATATACCTCAACGGCGTTTCTCACACATGCGCTCTTGGCTCAAAACATCATAAACTCCATGGTTCTCAACACCGTAACGCTCAACTCCGTAACATTAAGTTTTGTTACGGTGTTGAGAAACCGATACGGTGTTGAGGTTTGGTTCACCAACGCTTAAATTAAATCTTATCTTATCAACATAATTATGTAGAATAACATGTAGTTCCTCCAATATTTCACCGGAGTGGATATTCTCCACTCGGATGGCAAACATCAACGATAAAGATAGTTAGGCCTATTCGCCATTCGAGTAGATTGCTTGTGCTTTAATGGAAAATACAAAATCTGAATCCCTTTCTAATGATCATTTGTTAATTGAAGGGTGATAGTGTGTAAACAGACGTCCTCGTTTATAGCGAAGCGAAAGATAGAGAAACCGACATTTTGTATAGATGGGAGTAGCATAAATGTGAGAAGTTTCATATGAAAGTGTGTATCTTACTAAACCAGGAACATTGTAAAACGCATTTATTTGTACTGTGTTGATCACAAATAAGATAAACTACAAACCTAATTCAATTTCATTCCTGTAGAGCGAAAAAGGCATGTTCTATTGACATGGGCCTGCCTGTCTGTCTGATCCGCCCACCCGGACTACCCATATATTTCATTGTCAACCTCAAATTTTATCTGCAACCTGTATAATTGATCTGTTACCATATATTTCATTTACTACCAATCAGGGCCGTTACTAGCTCAGAGCAACGGGGGTGGTGGGGGTGGGGGTCTTGGCGGTGGGTGGGAGGGGAAAGTGTTCTCAGGGGTGCTGTAAAAATGACGGACAATTATCTAGGGGGGTTTCGAGAAAAAATTTCAAAATTGAACTGCCGGAAACGCTATTTCCTGCAATCTGGGCAGCATCGTCAATCGTCTTTCTTCCTTTCACACCGAAGAACTCGGTCAATTTTCATGAAAGACCCCTGATTTGAAGAAAATTTGAGCAGAAAACCTCAAAAAAGTCCTCTTTTGAAGATCTGAAAAAGGTAAAAAATCCAGAAATCTGGATAAAATCCGTAAACACTGAGAATCCGATATCAAATATACCGATGATTTTTTTCACATGGGGCGAAATTTTTTTATGGTCGACCAATTTTAGTTACGGGTGTGCTACCAATATATTTCATTTCCAACCGTGTGTTTTATTTGACACCCGTATATTTCATTTACTACCCATATATTTCATTTCTAACCGTGTGTTTTATTTACCACCCGTATATTTCATTTACTACCCATACATTTTATTTCCAACCGCATAGTTTTTATGCCAACCGTATAATTAATTAGTGTTAAATCAGTATTTTATCAAGATTTTAATGTGCTCCCGGTAATATCGATCAAATATTCAACGAGTTTTGATTGTGTCTGGAATAAAATAAAATGTTCAATAAATTACGTGTTCTTGAAAGGTTTAATATATCAAAATGGCTATTGCATATATTTTTGTGTAAAGTAGCAAACTGTTATGTAAACATACTTTTTTTTATAATGTCTAAGGTTATTGTTTATTATATAAAGCCACCAATTTAAAAATATCATTCTGAGCATTATCATTTCGTATAAGGGCATATGTTATCTCGACACCGTCACATAATTTCAACACCGTCACGGGAATTCAACACCGTCACAGAGTGTAATATCTCTCATTTCTACTTTTTTTTTAAAGTTAAAGAACCATTTTATAAGCGGACAGAAATATTAATTGATCAGTCTGTGTTACTGAATCAAGAAATCAAATACATAATCATGTTTTTATTGCGCTACACTTTAATACAATTACAAAATATGGAGCGATTTGAGGTAAGTGGTATAAACTACAAATTACAGCAAAGAACTTATGACGATATAAAAAGAAATATTATTTTTGAAGTGTAATCCCCATCATCTTTTCAGAAGGGTGAATGTTTTTGCGTTTTCTGGTTAATTTAAAATATTTTTTGACTATACAATACCGTTACGGTGTTGAGATTTTGTAAAACACGTTCCACTAAAAGCTTAATTTTTTGTCTTAAAATTCTAAAGACTGCATGTCAATTGATAACATAGGACGTAGAAGATACTAGTTGTCGAAACAAAGTCAAAAATGTATCGCTTCGAGATGGTTCAATAATCCGGAACTCTGATACCATGAATGCACACTAACGAGATATATACGTCATGCGGGGCAACGGTGGCTATATTATGAGTAAGGCGCTGCATGGCTCGCTAACATGGAGGTCGCGGGTACGATCCCGGTATTAATTGGCCGAGAAATTTTATCGGGATTTTCCGACGTGGTTTCCCCCTTGTCAGTGGTGCAGGATGTACGGCCTGACAAGGACAGCTATCTAGTCGTTCGGATGGGACGTAAAACTGAGGTCCCGTTTACACATTGAAGTCCACGTAAAAGATCCCTTGGCAGTTGGAATTCGAACTAAGATTAGGTCGTAGCACTCCGCTGTCCGTGCAAAATTTAGTCTCGATCACCCAGAATCTCCTAGTCTTCAACATACGGAGGGTCCATTGCCCATGCGTAACCGGGAGTTTGGTTTTTAATGTGGTTGATTATCCAGTCTCTGTAGCCAAGTCAAGTAAGAGTTGCGCCCCTTCCCACAATAAATCCCATAATTCTTGCATTAATAATATAAACAAACATGAATCGTGGCGACGAATTAGGAATAATTTTAAAAGCATAGATATGGCCTATGAAGAGGGAAATTTTACAATAAAAAATTAAGAGTGTTAGAAATGACATTCTTAAATTAATTTCATGGGCGTAACATATTGTTTATGACAATGTAATAGACCGGATTATCTAGCGAATTTTTCTCAAATGTTGACAACCCATCCAGACCAATATTCGTAGAATATTTTTCTGGATGATAGAGACTATGCAAAATTTCCCTCATAGCACACTGTTTGGCGTTAAACCCCTATTTCATTCCATCCGCCAGGCAATGTGAAGGAGATCAATTTTGCGCGGACAGCGGCGGTACAGCCAACGTGTGCACGGAACCTCGGTTTTTCGTCCCATTCTTACGAATATAGGCACAGTTACTTGTCAGAGCCTACGCCCTGAATACCGCCCAACTCACCAAGAGAACATTGCGCTGGGAAACACCGCCAAACTTTCTCAGGCAACGCCAGGGTCTCTGACCAGGGCCCAATTAACTCATATGTCACGTGTCCAGTTATAAATAAGCATCGATCAACGGTTTGAAGATCTTCGGCAATCCCGATCAGTTAATTTAAAAAAAAAAAATCATAACTAAAGATTTGACTCATTTCATTTAACATAATGGGAGATTAGATAAAGAGCTGGCAGTTCTCACTATAATAGTTAAGAACTAAATAATGTTTTAAAGGGAATGTACTGAAAATTTCAGTCAAATTGATTGACGCTGAACCGAGAATTTAGCGATTGAATTTTGGGCCTAGCCTCGATCATCATTACTAAAATCGATGCGATAAAAGCAGTCTCGATTATCCATTTCATGATTTAATCATGAATGGAAGTTGAGCAGCAAATCGGAACCTAATCCAGTAAATCTCACAGGCTAGCGATGACATCGAGAGATAACATTTCAGGCCTAAAGAAAGACCTGCAATAGGCAGATTTAACTCTTGCATAATGTATGTTTAATATGATTAATACAATGACATCATTATTAATGTGACGTCATAATGTATGTTTAATTATATAAAATCTAAATTATCTCGTGAAACTAATTTGAAACAAATCTGCTTATACATTGCTGAAATAGAAATGAAATGAAAGGGGGTTTAATGGCCTACTGTTCTGCTCCGACCCTGCTAATGAAGACGTGCATATTATGTCATATAGTGTGCTATGAGGGAAATTTTCTCCGGACATGGGCGCGTTACGATCTACTCTTATATCGAATCCGAACTGCGAAGGGATCTTTTACGTGCACGCCAATGCATAAACAGGACCTCGGTTTTTAGTCCCATCCGAAGAGTGTTTATAGATTCAATTTATAGGACTACGAGTTGAATTTGATTGTGTCGTTTTACATAGAAGGCTTCAACATCGTTGTTTGGTTTTACCCCCAAGTGGTATACCAGATTCCCACTATCACGATTCGCGATATGCTTGAAATCGTGGTTTTAATCATGGTGATCCTATCAAATCGCATCATATATTAATGTCAGTCGTAGCAATCGTGTTGATTGTATCGAAACGTACCCGAACATATCTTCAAGTACCCGATCATGGATTCAGTAGGTACAATCCTATCATAACGCATCGTACGACAGTGAAAAATGAAATGAAATGAACTTTAACGTCCTACTGTTCTGCTCCGAACTGGGCTAATGAAGACGGGCATACGCCATCTTTTACGTGCACGCCAATGTGTACACGGGACCTCGTTTTTGCGTCCCATCCGAACAACTAGACAGCTGTCCTTGTCAGGACCTCCGTCATGCATCACTGACAAGGGAGAATCCCCGCCGGACAATCTGGATGAACTTTCTCGACCAATGCATGGATCGAACACCCGACCTCCGCGCGAGCCTGGCATAAGCTATATAAACATTAAGCGAGAATTTCATATTTTCTAAGGAAGTCAAAACATAATTATTTATATGTATTTTGCTCAATAGGTTATCAACTCACTATTATACGATCATAGGTGTCATTCTCACACTTAAAACTCATTTACACAGGAAATAACAACACAATTACCTCCCTTGTTTTCCTATTGAAAACAATGGTCAGCCATTCCCTCAACGTTGGAATTTGAAGTTGAAAATGATATTTTTGCCAATTTCTCAGCTGGCAATAGTGAATTATAGGATTAATAGGATTATTCTTTAACAAGGTAGGACTGTTTATGGATACCATCTATTTTAAGGCTTTATTTTAATAAATTTTAAAAATATAACTTAAAAATTTGAAATTTCCGCTTTAAAACATCCCTGAAAAGATGTATTACCTTAAAATGACCATAATTGGCATTGTAAGTAAAGATAATTTTCTAGTGAATGACTAATTTAGTTTATATCCCTATTAGTTTGTGACATGCTTGCGTTCAAGACGAACATTAATTGTTGTTCTTTAAAAGAATTACTCGGCAAAACATTCAGCTTTTAATAATAGAGCACGATTTGATACATGAAACATTTAGCTCGGATGATACAGAAAAGTAGGCGTTAAAACTCATTTCATTACCGAGCAGTTTAAAAATAAAATGTCTTCAGTTTGGTGCAATAAATGGACCATGCTGATTCTACCAGTACCAAATAAACGGTTAGTTTACTTTCTCAGTTAATTCAATATGAACTAGTTTTGAAATGACCATCATATATTTAATGCAATAAATAAAACTATTATAATATAAACACTATAATAGAGATAAAAACACCCCTTTCTAAAATCAATATATAAATAGATGGGTTGATAACTCGTCTGTATAATAATAAATAACTGTGGAAATATAACTGTCATTTAAAAAGCCATTATGCACAAGCTTAATCTGCCTAGTTGAAATTCTAGGATTATGTTACCATAGTTACGAATAGCATTTGAAATCTAAGATTATGTTACCATAGTTACGAATAGCATTTAAATTCTAGGGTTATGTTACCATAGTTACGAATAGCATTAAAAGTCTAGGGTTATGTTACCACAGTTAGAAATAGCATTTAAATTCTAGTGTTATGTTACCATAGTTACGAATAGCATTTAAATTCTCCATAATTACAAATAGGATTTGAATTCTAGAGGGTTATGTTACCATAATTACGAATAGCATTTAAATTCTAGGGTTATGATACCATAGCTACGAATAGCATTTAAATTCTCCATAATTACAAATAGGATTTGAATTCTAGAGGGTTATGTTACCATAATTACGAATAGTATTTAAATTCTAGGGTTATTTTATCATTTTTACAAATATTATTTCAATTCTACGGTTATGTTACCATAGTTACAAATAGCATTTGAATTCTAGCGGGTTATGTTACCATAATTACAAATAGTATTTAAATTCTAGGGTTATGTTACCATAATTACAAATAGTATTTAAATTCTAGGGTTATGTTACCATAGTTACAAATAACATTTAAATTCTAGGGTTATGTTACCATAGTTACGAATAACATTTAAATTCTAGGGTTATGTTACCATAGTTACAAATAACATTTAAATTCTAGGGTTATGTTACCATAGTTTATAGCCTACGAATAGCATTTAAAGTCTCGTGTTATGTTACCATAGTTACAAATAGTATTAAAATTCTAGGATTATATTACCATATATTTTACAAATAGGATTTAAATTCTAGAGTTAAATGTAAACTCGCATTAAACATACATTATGCACGATCTAGATCTGCCTATTAGGCTACAGGTCTTTCTTTAGGCCTTAATTAATGTTATATAAACAATTAATTAGATATTTTTTAACATGACAAGACCATAATCAACTCTTGATGCCATCGTTAGCCTACGATATTTTGTAGATTTGAATACATTTGGTGATGGATAATTTAACCTATAAATGGATAATCGAGACTTTTTTTTTATTATCTTACCAACGTTAGTTCATGTCAAAAGGAGAAAAAAATATATTAAATTCCAGATGAACGTTCAAGTCGTCGGTCTGGCGGCGCGATGGGCGGAGACTGGGTGAATCTGCGACCCCTCAACCGTCTCTCAGATTTTTCGAAACCTGTCACAGGTGATCACGATCGCTGATATGATTAATAGCAGCTTTTCAAGCGCCTCCGGGGACTGATTATAGATTTTCGGCCCCGAGTCTGAAATTTGGGGTATAGGGGTAGCTCGGACCGGGGAGTAACATAGGCCAGGTGGCTTTAGTCTACCACTTCCGGTTTCGGAGTTATGACCCCCGAGCGAAGCCGGGTATCCTGCTAGTATCAGTTATTATGTGATTGTGATTGTATTGCATACGCATGCGTGTCATTCAAAAGGTTATAGCCTAGAATATTCTTTCCGTGTATTCTCCATCTAATTACGACTGTCACCGGTTAGTCTTTTACGTGCACTTAATTTTTCGTCCCATCCGAACAACCAATCACTTTTCTTTGCCAGGCCCTAATTGGGTCTTGAGGCATTCACGAGGAGCTAGGGGTCATTGACGGATTATTACAGGTCTCATGGGGCCGGCTCGCTGGAAATGTCACTGAGGTCCTTGCATCGACAGTGAAAAGATGACATATTCTGGTCATTGTCGGTCACACTCACTTGTTAGTATTGTAGATAGATAAATTTATTTAGCACACACATACACCAAAATAAATGACATGGATTAAGACGAATGTAGTGCGAGTTATAAATAGACAATTTTTCCCTTAATCTTTTTTTCTCTTCTTCCTGCATTTTTGGGTTGACTTTTTGGTCTAGAATTGGAGAAAAGGGATCAAATTTGCAATTTCATAGCAGTTTTGGGTAATACTGGTGATGTTACAGCGGAGGGATAGGGGTTGTAAAGTGTCTTTCTGCAGGGCAATCATTGTGTCGGAAGTGAGATTTTCACCCCAGTCAACTTCAAATCCCCGTAGCAAAAAATCTAAATGGTCAACCCCCTACAAATTTATGATGAGGATATTGCCAAATGTGGTCCCCATTATGCCTATAAAGATTGGAACCAACGGAATGCTGAGCAAAAAACTCCTGCAGCCTGTGATGTTACAGCCATTTAACATTGAAGTCAATGCCTGGGCAAATAATTGCTAGTCTGACGCCACATACGGTGATTTCTACTTTGGGTTGCAGATAAGCTGCAATTTCATTGGATATCCCGAAATAGACTGACCAACCAGAGGCTTATAATATTGTCCACGCACCATTGGACAAAACAGTGAAATGTCGTCTGTGAATGTTGATGTCAACCTTATTTAGTAAGTTGTATTTTTAGTTTTGTCACACGACACATTTTCTTGAAATTAAGTTTGACAGATATTACTATTAGTGACCAGGAAACGGTTTTGCAGTGTTGTTGGGCTAGGTCTAAATCAAAGCGACATTTCAGAACAAACTTTACCTAAAACTATGATTGAAAATGACGAGTCAGTGACCGTTGTGACTGTGTTGTTTTTTGTTATTCTTATGAAATTTGCAATGTGTGTCATTCGATTGATCGATTGAGCTATGTGCATGTATAGGGTAGGTAATTAGTTTTAACACATTGTAAAAGTTTTAGTCAGAACTCAGGTGTTATTGATTTTATACCAGTCATTTAAAATAACTAACTTATTATTCGTACTCGGTACTGTGGTGAGTCAACTGAATGTCAAGCCATTGAAAATTGACATTGCAACCATTTACCATTTGGATTGGAATAGCCTAGGTATGGTACAGTAAGCTTTTCATCTAAGACTTTTAAAAAAACCAAGCAGAAGATATTATATTTTTTTTGACTGCGCTTTGCAATCTGTCTACCATTCAGGTTATTTTACATGAACAGTGAACCTATATGGCTATACATAATATAGGCCTATTATACTTATAGCTGTAGGATATGAAAAATATTTTGTACTGGAGTAGCTTATTGATTTTGTATATTTGGAGCATGATAGATAGATGATTTTCTTTGGAATCTTCACAGCATGATGGACAAAGTCCTTGGAAGTGAAAGGAACAAATGTTGTTCTACTCCTCCTGGTAGAGCTGTCTGTATCAATATAGGCCTAAGTACTGTATAATATAAGTTTAGGCCTACCCCAAAATAAAGTCTCTTGACGGGTTGGTATAGTAAGCTATACATGTAGTAGGTCCAGCCGTAGCAAAGGGGGGGGGGGGGATGGCCGATTGGTTAGCGTGTGCACGCTGTATCATAAGCATAAGGTCTGTGCTCAACGGTGTGCTTTCGATTCCCTGGTTGTACGTGACAAGGAGTGTGGTCGCCTGTCCAACCTTGTGGGTTTTTCTCTGGGTCCTCCGTTTTCCTCCTACGTGCTTGCGAATTATTGAAATAAAAGCTACACCCGAAATGGTTAGCACATAGTAGGTCCAACCATAGCGCAACAATTAGGCCTACTTTAAGCCAGTTTATTCTTTTTTTAATTTAGAATAATTCAGAGGACATAGAAGAAGTGACAGCATGATATAAAACATAGAAAAACATGAGTGAAGAAGTAAAAAGTGGAAGTACTGACAATGAGGAAGTTGTTGTACCATCACCTGATGACCAAGATGAACCTGATCTTATCCGACAAAAACAGGCAGAACTACAGGAATTAAGTCTCACACCTTTAAAAGAAGATATTTGTCAGTGGTTGGCAAAAACGTTAGGTAGGCTACCATAAGATAAAATCCACTTTTGTCGTCCATTTTCTTTTCTTTCCCATACTGTACCCTAGGTAATGATTGAGCTGAACTGTTGTTGTTGACGTAATCATCATCCAAGGGCCCAAGGGTAGCAAACATTAGAATAAACTTCCTTCCATTAACAGAAGTCGTGGGTGGCTCACTAACCAGATTGTTCTCTTCTGTTCTTGTCAGTGGTACAGAATGGAGAACCTGCATGATAAGGAATATTCTCTAGCTAGTCGTTGGATAGATCAAAAAAAAAAGAGACCACTTCTCACCATGGCACGCACGTAAAAGATCCCTTAACACAGATGGAATTCAACCAGGAGTAGGCAGCAACACTGCGGTTCGTGCAAAATCTCCCTCATAATTCATGGGGGGGGGGGGGGTGGATGACTGAATGGCTAGCACGTGCGTGCTGTATGATAAAGCCTATCATTGAGTCATCTGGCGTGGTTTCGAATACCGGTTGTACGTGACAAGGAGTAGGGTCGCCAGTCCAACCTCGTGGGATTTCTCTGGGTCCTCCGGTTTCCTCCCACTGCTAAAGAAATGAAATGAAATGAAATGGGGTTTAACGTCCTACTGTTTTGCTCCGAACTGGGCTAATAAAGACGGGCATACGCCATACAGTGTGCTATGAGGGAAATTTTGCCCGGACAGTGGCACTACGGCCTACTCTTATATCGAATTCCAACTGTCAAGGGATCTTTTACGTGCACGCCAATGTGTACACGGGACCTCGGTTTTTCGTCTCATCCGAATGACTAGACAGCTGTCCTTGTCAGGCCCTCCGTCCTGCATCACTGACAAGGGGAAACCACGCCGGAAAATCTGGATGAACTTTCTCGGCCAAAGCAGGGATCGAACACCCGACCTCCAGACTAGCGAGCCAGCGCCTTACCCACTTAGCCACCGTGATCCCCCACTGCTAAAGACCCCTTCGCACAAGCGAATTATTGAAATAAAATTAAACCATATGTTAGTCCCGAAATGACCTGGTTTGTGTCGAGCGGACGTTAAACCCCATTTCTCTCTTTTTCATAGTTCATGAACTATTTCAATTGTGTTTGTTAATACACAAGAAGGATGGGCTAAGTTTAAATCTGATTGAATCCAAGTCGGGAGATTTACTAGCGATGATATTCTGATTAAATTTTCGTCAAGTCTGGAAATAAGGCACCTGTCACAGACAATGTCAGGCACAGATTCAGACTTTGTCAGGCACTAAACCTGTCATTTTGTCCGGCACTGATTTGTCTTTTTTATTGATATTATTAATACATGTCTGGCACTAAGTTGAAAATGTCCGGTACTATTTCATTAGTGCCTGACATTTTGTCAGGTACATCTAAAACCGTTATTTATTTCCAGGCCTGATTTTCGTAATCAAATGTTGAATAATCAATCTGAGTACATAGTATAGATAAAATTTAATTTGATATTCTAGCGAAAAAGATAAATGACGCATCCAGCCTTTAAAGATACATTTTGTAAGATTTAGATAAAGAGCTGACCATTCTTGCCATAATAGCTCAAAAATAGATAATGTAACATGAAAATATTGAAATTTCATTCAAATTACTTCATTCTGAGTCAAGTTATCATTGTTTGTAGTTTTGACGTAGCATGGCTTTCCCATTTTTGTCCCCCGCCTTTCGAAGAAAGCAGGGGACTATTAAAATGGGTTCGTCCGTCTGTCTGTCCGTCTGTCTGTCTGTCTGTCCGTCTGTCTGTCCGTCACACTTTTTGGGACACAATAAATCTCTTCCTAATTGAGCTAGAATGTTCAAACTTGGTGTATGTGTTTATTAGGTCAATGCCTTGATGGAGTTCGAAGATGAGCATTTTCCGCTGAGGGTAAGCAGAGATAAGCAATTTGATTGGTTGATGCTTTGGGACACGATAACTCTCTTCCTAATTGGGCTAGAATGTTCAAACTTGGTGTATGTGTTGATTAGGTCAATGCCTTGATGGAGTTCGAAGATGAGCATTTTCCGCTTAGGGTAAGCAGAGATAAGCAATTTGATTGGTTGATGCTTTGGGACACGATAACTTTTAATTGAGCTAGAATGTTCAAACTTGGTGTATGTGTTTATTAGGTCAATGCCTTGATGGAGTTCGAAGATGAGCATTTTCCGCTTAGGGTAAGCAGAGATAAGCAATTTGATTGGTTGATACTTTGGGGCACGATAACTCTCTTCCTAATTGAGCTAGAATGTTCAAACTTGGTGTATGTGTTGATTAGGTCAATGCCTTGATGGAGTTCGAAGATGAGCATTTTCCGCTTAGGGTAAGCAGAGATAAGCAATTTGATTGGTTGATGCTTTGGGACACGATAACTTTAGTTCTAATTAAGTGAGATTGATGAAACTTGGTGTATAGTTTCATTACAGTAATACCTTGACTAAGTTTGATAATGAGCATTTTCTGCTCAGGGTAAGCAGAGCGATACGCAATTTGATTGGTCGAGACTTTGGAAAACAATAACTCTCCTACTTTGATTGTCCCCCGCCTTTCGAAGAAAGCAGGGAACTATTAAAATGGGTTCGTCCGTCTGTCTGTATCAAAAACATTGTATGCTTAGACTATAAGTAAAGATATACTGTTTGATTGTTCAATACTTTGTAAAAGATAATTTGTGATAAATTTATATGTGTCCTCTAATTATTTTCCTATTTCGGCGGGGGACATCAGCCTCACTGTTGGCTTGTTAAATTAGATTTTTTAATGGCAAACCTTTCTAATCTAGTTAAAATCTCAAGTATCCAATGCTAGCGAGAGTTGATTATGGTTTGGATAAGTTGATATGGGTCTAATTAATAATTTAGATAACATTTCAGGCCTAAAGAAAGACCTGCAATAAGTAGATTTAGCTCTTGCATAATGTATGTTTAAACTAATGAGGTAGGATCTGTTTTTGATCTCTGATTATGAAATATTAATTCAATGAAATCAGATTATGTTTAAAGGAGTTAAATCTCTATTCTATGGCAACTAGAAATGGACACAAATGAAATGAAATGAAATGGGGTTTAACTTCCCACTCTTCTGCTCCGACTTGGCTAATAGAAGACGGGCATACGCCATACAGTGTTCTAAGAGGAAAATTTTGCACGAGCAGCGGCACTATCGCCTACTGGACAGAAATGAGTCACAACGCATATAATGATGTATTGTAATATGAATGTACATGTTTATATAAACTGATTTACAATCAGTCGTTTCTGTCTAATGTTAATTTAAATAGACCATGTGTTTAGCAATGTCTAAGGTTGTGGATGATTTTGAGTTAGCGACTTACCTTCTCCTTGAAAGAGAAATAGATAAAGGAAATATATTGATTTGAAATTAAAAGATTGACAGTACCGGTAGTCAATGTTTTACAAACTGTCCCAAAATTTATTTTTTAATTTTCATTGAATCGAATATTTGACTAGCATTCGAATATGACTTAAAACAAGTTAAATCAATATGTCATGTCATGTGACAACTTCTAGTAGGCCTACTTTTGTAACATCTTTTAGGCCTTAACTTAAACAAGCATTATGCAAGATGTAAATCTGCTTATTGCAAGTCTTTATTTAGGGTGAAATGTTAAACATACATTATGCAAGAGCTAAATCTGATTATTGCAAGTCTTAATTTAGGCTTCAGATGTTATAGAAATTATAAATTAGATCTTTATTTAAACAACAAGACCAAAATCAACTCTGTAGACCCACGGATGGCTCGGCTACAGCTCGGATTTAAATAGGATTTCACTAATTGATTAAATCAAATAAGGGGTAACCTGATGAAAATACGTCAGTTAGGTCAAGGGTAAATGATAGAGTGTACTTAGCGAGGCCGCTGTAAAGCGTTTCCGTATGCCATTGAAAACTTTACTTGATAATCGAGATATGTAGGTGGAGTTAACGCCTGTCAATCAAACGTTCGGCGAAGGTGAAGACACATTTCGCTACCATTTCTAGGCAAATATTACAACGATGATAACTATGTTCAGAATAAAGTAATTTGACTGAATTTTTCAATATATTCTTCTTTCATCATCTACTTTTGAACTGTTATAGCAAGAATGGCCAACTCTATATAAAAATCTCCCATAATGTATCTTTAATTAGACATTAATTACCATGAAAAGACTATAATCAATTGTCGATGCCATCTTATCTGGCCGATTTTCATTGAATTTGAATCCGATCTGCTGTTCAACATCCATTGATGATTATCTGCAAAAATGGATAATCTAGACTTTGTTAATTTTTGTGACAGTGATAATAATGGCAATTGAGGCTACAAAGATTTTAAAGTCTGGTTTTCTTGGCTTAGCATGAAGAAATTTGACTGAAATTTTCAGCAAATTCCCCTTTCATTATCTATTATAGTGAGAACTGTCAGCTCTTTATCTAATCTTCCATAATATCCCTTTAAATAAAACTTTGTTTCTTTGTTTCAGAGATAGACATCAGCTCAGAGACATTCCTTGATGTTCTGGACAATGGTGTCTACTTGTGTAGACTAGTCAAAATTATCCAGTCAAAAGCAGAAGAGTGTCTCAAAGTAGGAAAATTTAAAGAGGTGAATAAAATTGATTTTAATGGAATTAGATTACAGCCAAAGCAGACTTACTAATGAGTCACGGGAAGACTACCTGCCTTGGAATCTAGACTGAACTGATTTCGGAACAATTTAGATTTAAAATCAATGTGTCGTCCAAGTAAAACCTTCATATGTCTGGTATCCAGAGACTATATCAATTCTTGAAGTCTAGTTTCAGTCAATACTAACAACAGTACATTGTAGTCTCTTGCTCATTTTGTTTTGTTCAATTTACCAGTAATAAATGTCATGCCTTGTAAACAATACTTTAAACATAAAAATTATTCAAAAGCTAAATCTGCCTATTGCAGGGTTTCTTTAGGCCTGAAATGTTATATAATAAGGTTTGTCATTGAGTCAAGTGGCATGGTTTCGATTCCCAGGCATATAGGTGAAAAAGATATAGCCGTCTGTCCAACCTCGTGGGTTTTCTCCAGGTTCTCTGGCTTCCTCCCACTGCTAAAGACCCCAATGTGCAAACGAATTAATGAAATGGGATAAGTGAACCATATGTTAGTCCCGAAATGCCATAGTTTGTGTCGAGTGGACTTAAACCCCATCTCTCTCTCTCTCTCCCTCATATTGTATTTCATGAATTAACCCCCCCTCCCCCCGATTTCTGACAAATTATTATGGTTTTATTTCATTCAGCCTCTGCCCAGTTATAAAGTACGATGTAAGGAGAATGCTGGGTCCGGTAGTTGGTTCGCGAGAGATAATACAACCAACTTTATACAATGGTGTCGAGAATACGGCATTCGGGATGATTGCTTGTTTGAAGCAGAAGATTTGGGTAAGAATTAGGAAATGAAATGGGGTTTATCGTCTCCTACTGTTCTGGGGAGAGTTGAGTGGCATGGTTACGATTCTCGACTTGTGGGCTAGTATTCCACAGAAATGACCTACTGTAGGTTAATGAAGACTATTCGTTTTCTGTTTCAACAAGGGAGCCAAACTGGCTCAGCAAGTCAAAGTTTCGGGGTTTGATACCGGTGTCGATAGAGATAGTTCCAGTTCCACACAGTTCTGTGGACTCGTTGGTGTGCACGTTAAAGAACCCTTGACAGTCGGAAAACCATGAAGAGTAGGCAGACTCATAGCATAGCATATGCTCCATCATCATTAGACTGGTTAATGTAGAAAAAGTAGGATGTTAAACCCCATTTCATTTTGTACATTGTTATTTGGGGTTAACCGGTTGAAGTAAAGTTATCATTCGTACACATCTAAAAACACATCCATTGAGTAATACAAAAACCGCCGAAAAATGTTCATGGGGGTACCTGTTGCTATGGAAGTGACAGCCATCTTGGATTTCTGTGTATAATTTTAATCATCCAGTTTCTCAGAAACTAATCAACAGAATGTTTTAAAATTAAGCAGAGAGGTTACTGACATGTTCATTTGTGCAATAGGTAAGTTTCATTACCAAATAATAAGTAGAAAGCAAGTTATACACATTTTAATGTTAACTTCAAAATTCTTTCACGTGTCACAGTTGCTATGGCAACAGTATATCAGGAACTATTTTGCAGATTTCAATTAAATTCTCCTATTGCACAAAGTTATTATTTAGGAAGTTATATTCAAAGTTTCAAGAAAATCTGACCATAACTTTCAGAGATTTAGCATGACTAAAATTGGTAACTCTAGAAGTACTGTTTTTAGAAATCAACAACTTAAAGGAGCTAAATCGCTAATATTTTGGATCTAGAAATTGACACAAATGGGTCGCAAAGCATATAATAATGTAATATGAATGTATATAAACCAATTTACATTCAATATGCCAGAAGTCTCAATCGAAAGGCAATCTCTAGAGTCTGGTTATTCCATTCTACACCGATAGTATTTATTGCGCATGCTCTCCAGATAAGAATATGGCGTCACTGTTTGACATGACTTGTGGAATATATCTAGCCTCTTCTATGAGTGCCTTGTTAAAAATAGTGCTTAAAGGAACCATGGTACACGTACCAACGCTAAAATGTTTATTTTGTCTTAATTAATGGATATCAGAAGCCCATCTTTTCCCCGTAAGATCACAACATCAATGTTGATTTAAATTGACAAATAATTCATGTTTTCAATATCGAAGAGTTTGCATGATATTGAGTTAGAGACTTAGCTACACTTTAAAGTTTAAGTTCAAGTATTTCAGTAGAACAACTTACCCCGATCTGTTCAATTCATTTATTTAATATCAATAAACTGACTTTTAATATATGTATTTTCTAATGTGTTTCTTATCTATATACAATATTTTCTCTTATTATATTTCTTGTGTGTAAATTTACAACCGAACTTTGACATAGAATAGATGTTATTCAAAACAACCATAACTATAATCAGTCAGTGACAGTACGTCAGTAGGCCTACCTGGTAATGGTATTGCTACCATACCACTATTAGGTCTAGCTATTCATCTCCATTTTGTTTATTATGAATGTCTGTCATACTAATTTAGTCATCTAAAAACAATTTCAAAGGCATTTTATTTGAAAATTTTCAAAAATATTGATAAACAATGACGTATGGTTCAGTAATATAGCAACCAGGATTGATATGGGACACGAGCTTAATGCGCATGTCCATTGACCTGACCTAGACGATTACCCGCTTCTGATTGGACACTTCACCATTGACCTATGTGACCGACCAATCAAATAACGTATTCTCGAAATAACCTCATTAGGTATGCAGAACTTGTTCTTGTTGCTATTTTTATCTCCATGAAAGGTTTCAAGACACCCCCGTAAAACGTCATTTCCTTTCAATACGGGAAATCACAAGCTTTCTAACAGTATCCAACATGGCGAAATTTCTAGTTATTTCGCGTATGAAATGCCTATTGTTTTTAGACTTTTATCAATAGTATTAGCGGAATTAGGGCAAAATAAAAAAGTGTGGGATCATTCAGAACCCAATTTTGTAGAAATAAAGAAGAATTTTGTGAAAACAAGTGACTGGTATGTGTTCCTAGATAGTATAGTGTCATTGTCACACTCACAGGACAGGATATGAGGAAGGCCTACGTGAGGACAGGCACGCCCTTATGGTGCACCTGTGTGATTCTTTCAAAATATTTTTATGATTTTCTGGGGTTTCTGCTTAATATTTTTCAAATTTTTTAATCAGCTTTATTTTTCTTCCTATTTGGTACTAAAAAATATAACATTTACTATCAAACATATTCATATTAAAAATCATACCTTCTGCCTATATATATGTATGTAATTGTAATAAGGAAGTGGATAAACGACCGGTTTCAGTTCCTGACGAAAATTTACTACCTAACAGGATATAGGCTCTGATTGGCCAATTTCATCACGTGGTTATTCTATCGCGATAGGTTCGGTTCTCAACATTTCTCCACTAGGCCTACGGGTTAGGGTTATAGTTAGGCTAATCCCTAACCCTAACCCTAGGAACGTTAATTCCTCGCCTTCCTTCATTTTCTAATGTCAGCGTATCTCTTCGCCAATATGTCACTTTATTCTTAAATTCAAATTGTTCATCACCTCTAAAAGTGAATTTTGAGTCGTAAATTCAGCACCAACAAGGATGCCTGTAGAGGCCGCCATATTGGAAAAAAAACGCTAATAACCACGTGATAAACTTGGCTAATGTTTATCCACTTCCTTGTAATAAAAGAGAAAGGGAAAAAAAATGTCAACAGAAAATGTCTTACCTTTCTCTTTTATTAGATACATCAGAAGGTATATTTTATTTTATGTATGAACATGTTTGATAGTAAATATTATATGATTTAGAACCAAATAGAAAGAAAAATAAAGAAGATTAAATTTTTTTTGAAATATGAAGAAAAAAACCCCCAAATCAAATATTTTGAAAAAATCACATACATAAGAAGGGAGTTCCTGTCCTCATGTACCTGTGATCAGTGTTACTCGCAGATAATCATAAAACCTCAAAGTCAAAGACAATTTTATTGTTAAAATTCACCAAATGAAGTTCGAACGACGGCCTTATTTAATAGACTTCAACAAAAAAATTTTATTATGTAGCATATTGTATTCTGTATCTACAGTCAATATTTTTGGCATTTTGAGTGGTGTTTACCAACATGTTGATTATGTTTAGACATGTTTGCGGTCCGACTCCTGCCAAACCAGCGTGATTCTGGATATAACAACCTAAACTGTAAATAAAATATGTATTGTAGGTGAAGCACATTCAAACTGTCTCTATACTACAAACAATTTGATAAATAAACTTCTTTAATATCTCCCTCTTCATGGTTGGTCCACTAGGGCAGCAACATTGGTAATCGGTCACTGTTTAAGGGAAATAACTCCATTTAGTGATAATGGAATCGGACTAGTAATTCTCATATTAAGTTCAGTGTTCAATCCATACCATTTCTTGGCCCAAATTTTTTTTTTTTTTTTGTAACCAGATAGATCTCATATATCAAAGACCCAAATATATCAGACTCGTTGTTGCAGAACACAATAAATTTCATTTTAATTTACTTCTCGTTGGCTGAGAAAGTTTATCAGGATTTTCTGGCATGGTTCCCCCTTGTCAGTAGTGCAGTACAGAGAGCCTGGCAAGGGACAACGTATAGTGTTCGGAAGATCGAGGTCCCGTGTACACATTGACATGCATGTAAAAGATTTCTTGACAATTGGAGTTTGATAGGAGTAGGCCGTAGATCCGCTGTCCGGGCAAATTTTTTTATAATTTACCTCATATGGCGTATGCCCAGTTTCAGCAGAACAGTAGGAAGTTAACCCCATTTCATTTCATTTCTACTTTCAGTTTCCTATAAACATGAGAAGCCAGTTATAGTATGTTTAATGGAACTAGCAAGACTTGGTAATAAATATGGACTCGAACCACCAACTCTGATTATTTCATTTCTACTTTCAGTTTCCTATAAACATGAGAAGCCTGTTATAGTATGTTTAATGGAACTAGCAAGACTGGGTTATAAATATGGACTCGAACCACCAACTCTGATTAAAATGGAGAAAGAAATAGAAAAAGAAGAGAAGTTAACAGAAAAAGAGGTTGAAGTCAAAGTGGTGGAACGACCAAAGTCTTCCGTAAATAACAACAAAAAACTTGATTCATTAGATGTTAAAGTAAGTCTACCATAAATAAAAACAAAAAGTTTTATTCATTTGATGTTACACACTGCATTGAGGGTCTGTTATTGAGTCAACTGGCATGGTTTCAATTCCCTGGTTGTACATGACAAGGAGTAGGGTCGCCTGTCCAACCTCGTGGGTTTTTTCTGGGTCATCCGGCTTCCTCCAACTGCGAATTATTGAAATAAAATTGAACCATAAGTTAGTCCTAAATGACCTACTTTGTGTCGAGTGGATGTTAAACCCCATCTCTCTCTCTCTTTTTTTCTCATTTGATGTTAGGGATAAGCAGGGTCGAATTAAGACCCATAGAGACCCTGGGTACTTTAAAGAATTCAGTGCCGCCCTATATATATATATATATAAACCACAATATATATTTGTCAAAATGAGGTTTATATAGGTCATTATTAATTAAGAAAAAGCAGGAACAGTAAGAAAAGACAAAAACAATGAAAACTATTTAAAAGTTAACACAAGGTACAATTTTATGGATACACAATTACTGAGGTTAATACTAAGCGACATTTCGACGAGGATACTCTTTTCTTTATCAAGTTCTTTATTAATTTTTAATATCAATATTTTAAATTTGTCATCTAACATAACAGAAATTCTGTGGTGTCCCATTGGCTTATAATTAGTTTTTTTAATGGTGGCGTGCCCCACACAGCCAAAATTTTCTTTATTCAAAGAAGTACACACCACAGCGAAATTTTTCTCTATTCAAAGTCGTACACACCACAGCGAATGTAACAATCGAGGCTAGACAAAAAAATTTAAAGCCGATAGCTAGGCTGAATGAAGTAATTTGACTGAAATTTTCAGCATATTTTCTTTTCTCTATCTATTGTTTAACTATTATAGCAAGAACTGTCAGCTCTTTATCTAATCTTACCTAATGCCACTTAAACCCTTTAAGGCGTTATATTACGTCCTGGACAACTGCCTCTCACTGTGTGTAGGGCGTAATATAACGCCTTGGCGGTATTTTCCCCAACCTATTCTTAGAACATAGTTCGTCACTTCGGGGAATCCCTTGGGAATTCACCCACAATCGCAGCATGTGTAGGACGTTATATTACGTCCTGGACAACTGCCTCTCACTGTGTGTAGGGCGTAATATAACGCCTTGGCAGTATTTTCCCCAACCTATTCTTAGAACATAGTTCGTCACTTCGGGGAATCCCTTGGGAATTCACCCACGATCGCAGCATGTGTAGGACGTTATATTACGTCATGGACAACTGCCACTCACTGTGTGTAGGGCGTAATATAACGCCTTGGAGGTATTTTCCCCAACCTATTCTTAGAACATAGTACATGTACATAGTTCTTCGTCAAATTAATTACACAATAGGGGGTAGTTAACATTTTAAAAACGTCACGCTTAACGCTTTAAGCCGTGAAAAATTAGATATTGACTGAAAAATGACACAAATGTAAATAAGTAGAAGAATTCTGCCCTGTATTATAGGTTAGAAGGGTAGCTACTAAATGTGGATGTTTACCGTATGTAAAAAGAATCCGAGAAGGAGTGTATAATATATTTGGTCGAGTCGTATTTATCAGGGTAAGTTAATTCATTCTCACCTCCATTTTATCATCAACTGGTGTCACATGACTAGTCGTGGTCACATGACTTCGAATGTTCTGCATTCAAGCGTTTTCGATCATGTTGCCATATTGTGAAATCAGTTCACTTAACGTTTTGCACTGTCTCATTAACCAATTGACCCCCATGTTCCTGAAGCAACGACTGCAAGTTTTACAACATCTAGACGATGCTAGGTTAGTCAGAAATTCCTGAACTCATAGCTATGTTATCTCCCTTTACTACAGACACCTGAACATTAGCGTTGTCCAATCAGAATCCATGATACAAACACTCAAATCAAACAGGGCGAAATTAGTGTTGAAATATTCAGGTCTTGCGTGAAGGCCTTAATAAGATGTATGTAGTCAATTTTCTATCCTGGTTTTCCCTGTGCAGTATTTGGTCATTTCAAGGAGGGGTTAGATCTAAATACCAAAGCCACCTGCAGATTTCGTCAAGGTCACAAGATGTAAACAGAGCTTCCCCTAACCCTAGAACTGACCCTAACCCTTACCCACAATCCTCTGCAACAGTCACATGCCCCAGCCTCATTTACATCTTGTGATAGTGACGAAATCTGCAGGTGACCTCAGTATTTAGACCTGATCATCCAGGAGGATCATCTGTCATTGAGACTGAATGAAAAAGCTGGAATTGCCACTGTCCAAGCAAAATACTTCTCCTCGCACTATGTATAACGTATGGCTGTCATCAGACGGTTGACATTTCATTTGGCCCCCCGAGTTCACAAAGCATTCTCAGACTTAAGTTAATAATTTACTCAAAATTGTTTGCTTTATTTTAGCTAAAAAAATAGCCCCTTTAAAAACTTTTGTTGTTTTAACGTATTAAATACACCAATAAGAAACTGTGCACAATTTTGTTTTTCTGGATCAAAGACATTTCTCATAAACAGTGTTTGAAAGTTGAGTAAATTCTTAACTTAAGTCTGAAAATGCTTTGTGAACTCGGGGCCTGATGTCATTCATGTAAGATGAACAAGATAAGTTTTTCAAGATCCCCATTCATTTTATGTATAGTTGTTCGTATGGGATAAGGGGATTCACGGTGGCTAAGTGGGTAAGACGCTGGCTCGCTAGCCTGGAGGTCGGGTGTTCGATCTCTGCATTGGCCGAGAAAGTTCATCCAGATTTTGCGGCGCGGTTCCCCCTTGTCAGTGATGCAGGACAGAGGGCCTGACAAGGACAGCTGTCTAGTCCTTCGGATGAGACGAAAAACCGAGGTCCCGTGTATACATTGGAATTCGATATAAGAGTAGGCGATAGTGCCGCTGCCCAGGCAAAATTTCCCTCATAGCACACTGTATGGCGTATGCCTGTCTTCATTAGCCCAGTATAGGAGCAGAACAGTAGGACGTTAAACCCCATTTCATTTCATTTCGGATGGGATAAAAAAAAATGAGGTCCTCTGTGCACATTGGCATGCATGTAAAAGATCCCTTTGCAATTGGAATTTGATATAAGCGTGGGCCATAGTGCAAAATTTTCCTCATAGAACACTATGTTGTATGCCTGTCTCCATTATCCCAGTCGGAGCAGAACAGTAGGACGTTAAACCCCATTTCATTTATTTATTGTATGTTTTATTAAAGTTATTACAAGGTAAACATCTGATGGTCCGAGTAGGAGGTGGCTGGGATACATTGGAACACTACCTCACAACACACGAACCTCAACAAATCTTCGAATTCCGAAGAGCTGGTAGTCAAGACAACCTTCTCGATGAAGCCATAGATAAAAAATTTCTATATATGCGAGCCAAGTATAAATCTGGTACTAAGTCCACGTGAGGTATGACATGGTGTCAGAGTCTACATGAGGTCAGATTTTGTGTTCAAGTCTACAGGAGGTCAGAAATTTGATTTTTGTAAATTTAATGAAACTCAGCTTAACATTTTGTAAACTTTGTGTTGTCTCCATGAAACTTGAATCTCCGCAAACAAATGGCAGCTTTCAGTTTTAATCTTTTCTAAAATTCTAAAATTGTCCGGCTGTAATTGGCAATATTTTAAATTTGGCCGACTGTAAATGGCAATGTTTTAAGTTTGCCTGGCTGATATGGTAAAGATATGACATTACCCGACTGTAAACAGTGCAGTTTTAAGATTTCCCAGCTGTAAACAGTGCAGTTTTAAGATTACCCAGCTGGATTCAGTACATTTTTAAGATTGCCCGGCTAAAATCAATACAGTTTTATGATTGGCAGGCTATAAACAATACAGTTTTAAGATTGACCGACTGTAAAAATATAAGAAATGTCAATGTGAAGTTTAAGCTGATCTCGAAATGTGAGTTATGATGTTAAGATCTTCAGGTTTTTTGATCTGAACTTTTAAAACGGTTGTTGTGTTAAACATACATTATGCAAGAGCAAAATCTGATTATTGCAAGTCTTAATTTAGACTTCAGATGTTATAGAAATTATAAATTAGATCTTTATTTAAACAAGCCCAAAATCAACTCTGTAGACCCACGGATGGCTCGGCTACAGCTCGGATTTAAATAGGATTTCACTTATTAATTAATTCAAATATGGCGCATCCTGATGAGAATACGTCAGTTAGATCGAGGCTAAATGATAGAGTGTACTTAGCGAGGCCGCTGTAGAGCGTTTCCGCATGCCATTGAAAACTTTACTTGATAATCGAGATATGTAGGTGGAGTTAACGCCTGTCAATCAAACGATCAGCCACGGTGAAGGCACATTTCACTACCATTTCTAGTCAAATATTACAATGATGATAACTATGTTCAGAATAAAGTAATTTGACTGAAATTTTCAAAATATTCTTCTTTCATCATCTACTTTTGAACTGTTATAGCAAGAATGACCGATTCTCTGTAAAAATCTCCCATAATGTATCTTTAAGTGGTATAATTTAGTAATTGAGAAATACATCATTAGAACACAATTTTTATTGGCAAAAACTGATTGGTTTTATTATATAAGTACAATTTATCTGTTATCATCTCTGAAAGGGCATTATGGGATATTAGATAAAGAGTTGACAGTTCTCGCTATAATAGATAAAAAATACATAACGTAAATAGAATATACTGAAAATTTCAGTCAAATTGATCCACTCTGAACCGATATTAGCTTTTGACTTTTAGACTAGCCTCGATCATCATTACTAAAGTCGATAGGATAAAAAACAAAGTATTGAATATCCATTTTTACCTTTAATTATTTATCAAAAAATCTATTCCAATCTGCTAAATATCGCAGGCTAGCGATGTCATCGAGAGTTGATTATGGTCTGGATAAGTTAATTAATATCTAATTATTAATTTAGATAACATTTCAGGCCTAAAGAAAGGCCTGCAATAGACAGATTTAGCTCTTGCATAATGTATGTTTTAAGCTTGATGAAAATTGTGTTCTGTTGGTTGTTATGGTAATATTTAATGTAATTTTTGGTTGTATTATTTTCAACAGTATTTGTAAATAAGTAAGGGTATTATTGTCAACGGTTTATCTATATATACATAATATTATTTATTTTCAACAGTATTTGTAAAGATAAAAAGGTATTATTGTTGACAGTATATATGTATATTTTTTTCGACAACATTTGTAATATAAAGGGACGGTGGAGGGCCGAAGGGTTAGCGTGTGCATGCTGTATCATAAGGTCTGTCATTGAGTTAAGGCGTGGTTTCAATTCCACGGTTGTACGTGACACTTAGTTGGGCAGCCTATCCAACCTCGTGGGGTTTCTCTGGGTCCTTTTGTCCCCACCCCCCCACCCCACTGCCAAAGACAACTATGTGTAAGAGAATTTATGAAATAAAATTGAACCGTAGGATACATGTATGTTAGTAGGATACATGTATGTTAGCAGCCCGGTAGTTTATCGCAAGTATATGTTAAACCCCATCTCTCTCTCTCTCTCTCTCATATAAATTTTCTTTGAGTGGCATATAGCAATTGGTATATGAAAAAAAACGCAATAACATATTACAGAAATGCATACTAATATAATAATAATAATAATGATGGTAACAAAATGAATTTACATAGAACACCTAAAATCACACACCGTGACACAAATTGAAAATTACAGTACAAGACACAAGGAGCAACACAAAACAGGTTTAAATGATTCACTGAAAACAATGTTATAAATTAATACATTCTTTAAATAACGCTGCCTTCTAAATTCTCAAATATTACTTGGCATTCTTGGCATTAGGAGAAACCATATTCCCTTATCTTCCCACAATGCGTTAAGCTCTTTTTCTCTTTCGTCAATTTTTTTCTCTCGCTTCTTGTTCTTCTTTCAGCTTGAGTTGTTGTATGAGTTCCCTGTCTACTTTCATTTTCTGTTGGTGGTGGCACGATATATCATCGAATCGATGTATCACAATTCACCTTCTCCTTGTTTGCGTATTGAATTGCGAGGCGCTGAATCGATGTATAGTGGGTTTTTTTTTTATTTTCTTTTGTTGCTTCAGTAAGGATTACACCTGTCACTCTTAATTATCCATGGTCCTTATTTTCATCCACATTAATATCGTGATAAAAAACAAATTTATTTCTTTGATATTATCACCTGAATCACAATGCATATTGTATCAGGGCTGCAGTGGCTGAGGATTCTTGTTGTCAATAAAAAAAAAAGAGTAAATTTTAACAATAAAAAAAAATCACCAAGTTCTTGTTTAACATTTTCCAAATATTCTGTAAAATGACGCTTATCTCTGTGCAATGTTTTTTTTTCCACGTGTATGCGCTCCCAAAATAAATCCTTATATTGTTGAATGGTTTCCATTGCATGTTCATCAATTCTATCTATAGGTAAAACAAATATGCTGTAAAATGACACTTCTCTCTGTGCAACTTTTTGGGGGGTAAAAATATTCACTCGTATGCACTCCCTGAATAAATCCTTATATCTATAGGTAAATCAAACGAAAATATGTGGGCATCTGGTGCCAGATCTTCTATACATTTTGCAAGTTCCTTTGATGCGTCTCCTGACGTGTAAATCCTCGTCTCAGATAAACCCGAGTATTTTGACATCAGATAAACCCGGAGTGTCAAGTATTTTGAAGAGATACTTTTCACCATCTAACTTATGCAAAAAAAATTTAGAAGCAGACAAGTATTTTGATATCGGATAAATCCGGATTATCAAGTATTTTGACATCAGATAAACCCGTAGTATCAAGTATTTTGAAGAGATACTTTTCACCATCTAACTTATGCAAAAAAATTTTAGAAGCAGACAAAAAAATAAATAATGATTAATAATTATGAAAGGTAAGAGTATAAGTGTAAAACGGGGTTACTTTGCCATATTTTTAAATTATTTCATGTAGTACTCCTCATGCAAGACTGATATCCATGCTGAAGTTGATATCCATAGGGGAGTTTGAGCCTTTGGGGGGGCCTACCTGTCAATCATAGAAAATATCCCCCAAAGGCTCATTCTTCCCAAAAAAAATTTATTTTTTGTTGTGGCAAAGAAACCCCTTAGGTTGGGGCTACTTTGCCCAGCCCTACGTAGGCGACTATTGCAACATGCATTACTCCATAGTCGTTAATGTTACCCCACATAAAGGGTTTCTTTGCCGTACTGACTGTGTTTTAAAAAATACAAACAAACACCTGGCTTTTATTCAAGAATGTATTACAATGTTTTTAAACAGCAAACATAAAAATAATCTCAAACATTTCGTAAACCAAAAGAAATTACAAACCATACAACCTGTATGGACTTTGCTTGAAAATAAAGTAAAATTTAAAATGCTCATAACAATAAACCAGTATTCCTGGATATCAGACGTAGAACTTCACACTTAAACTGTAAATGCAGACAATACAAGTATTGGACCCGATTCTCACAACCACTTTCGACCAACGGCCACAGTGATTATCCACCTTCCACTTTTGGTTCAACATTCTTGCCATTACATAGATGTAGACTCAATAGGCACATGAACAAATTTTTTACTATCAACAAATTAGTTCCTTGACCTACACCATAAGATGCTTCAGAAATTTAGCCTCAATTTCATCCACGAGTTCTTCCGGGATTTGAAAGAATCTCGTGCTTATTTTCCCGAATGGGAGGAGCTGCAAACTAGGAACTATTCCCAAAATATGCTTGACTGGAACCCAGCACTTTTCATCGCTACCGCCCCAGTGAAATTTCTGGCTTGGACCTGAAGGCATCATGAAGAAAATTTCTACATCATTATTTTCATCAGATACATCAAGAACTTTGCCTATCCACCATTTATTTCCATAGACGGCAGCAACAAGTGTGTTTTGACCAAGGTCATTCAGGTTTTTCACTTCTCTGAGCAAAGTACTAGCAGTTGCTCCTGTTGTGTCATTATCAATGCCTGAAACTTGTTGCGTATCACTCATTTTGGATGTCCCTGGTAGTGTTTCTGGATCACTGGATCCTCTGCAAGTCTGACTTGGAAATGTTGGAGCATTCACTTCAAGTTGCCCACTTGGCGAGGCACTGACTTGACTAACTTGTGGAATGGGATCATTGGAGGAGTCTGATCCATGGGTCGTGTTGTTATTGACATCACACCCTTCTTGCTCCTTATTCAGCCTACCAGGTTTAGTTTTTTTCAGACATTTTGCTTTCTTCTTTGTTTTTTTGGGTGCAGAGGATTCTTCACCTGTGTCAGTAGTTGCAATATCAGATGTCGAAATACTTTTGCCAGGTTCAACTGCTAGTAGTTTGTGCTTTTTTGGAGCTTTTTTTTGCTTGTCGTACCTCATCTCCTGTAGCATCTCAGTGACTGAAGTAGACAGAATGTCAGCAGCATCGTCATGACTCTGATTGTTTGGCATCTTGGACAGAACTTCATCTTTGTTCATTGGGTGGATTCCACACGTTTTGAAGCCACTTTTCAAATTCTCTCTAGCATTTTCTGCCATAGTATTACTCAGCAGAACAAGTAGGCCAGGAAACTCACTTTTTGGAACAGCAGAAGACCTTCTATTCTTTGCCTTCCAATCGGAGAGAATCTTACGCCATGATCTCTTCATTGGGGCAAAAAATGAGACATCAAGTGGTTGACAGATATGAGCAGAATTTGGTGGTAGGCACACAAATGCAATATTGTTCTCTTCACAGGACTTCAGGATTTTTGATGTGAAGTGGCTAGAGAGGTTATCACCAATGAGTACCGTTTTCCCAGCAAGACGTTTGGCATGAGGCAAGAAGGTTGTAAAGAACCAATCTGAGAAAGTTCTTGCCTCAAACCAACCACTCTTGCTTCGATTAAAACGTGCTCCACCAGCACAGCATCTATCCTCACAAAAAGGTTTACCCTTTGGGCCTCCTTCACACCAGGTATCCCAAAGTTCTGCTGACTTATACACTGTATAGACTGGCAGTAGATCACCGTGAGCTGAGCCACTCATCATAACTGAATGAGAGGATTTTGACATGTTCATGATGCGGTCTACATACTTGGAACCTCGTTTCGCAATCACTTTCTTTCGGCCTGGATCGTCAGATAGATTTGATTCATCGTAATTGAAAATGTTCTGTGGTGGAACACCATCAGTAGTTTCAGCCAAGTTGTCGAAGTACTGCTCCATTTCATCAGGTGTGACAGTGGCACGGGCTCGTTTCATGTTGTTCGCATTTCAGTTAGATAATGTTTTGTTCCGTTGCGAGAAAGACTGGCAGAAGTCTAGTCCAGGATAGTTCTCTTTGAACACTTGACATTTTCTTCCACTTTTGTCCAGGTATGACTTCACCATGCATCGGAAATCCATCAAGTCAAATGGGAAGCCCAACTTCTGGACGGTGACTAGAGCAGCACAAAAGAGATCCTCCTCTGCTTTTGAGAATACAGTTGGACGGCCTGGTTTGTTGAGGTGCTTCTTATTTACTTTGTTTTCCAAAGATTTGCGAGGAATCTTGTAAGTTTCTGCTGCCTTTTTCACACTTAGGCGTTTACTTTGGACTGCTCGTATGGCATTCTGAAGGGCATCTTCAGTGTAGTTCCGGTATGACCTGCTGCCTACTTTTCGCTTGTAGTTTCGTACCATTTTTGGAAATCCGTGCAATCCTGAAAATAGAAATTGGAAAAACAGTTATGATATACGTACATGTAAAACAGCTTTTCCAGCATTTTCACTTAGTTCGCAATCAGTTGGATTACTTTTAAAACCCATTGATACACTTTAAATTAATTGGGGCAACTTTGCCATATGGCAATGTAACCCCTAGGAAATTTGGCAAAATTAGCCAAATATTTTGTTTCAGAGGTTTGTAATAAAATTCTTCTTGAAACTTAAATTAATTGAGATATATTTGTTCTAGAAGTGTTATGCGACATGATAAAACTTACCTTATTCCTGAGACCCTCCTGGACTCTCCTTGTGGGAAGAATTTTCCGGAATGACAGGTGTGCTCCACTTTTCCCACCATGTGGCACCTCGTGACCTTGACATTGACCTTTGCATAATCATTTTCATAAACAATTTTTAAAAATTCCCAAATGCCATAAATACATCATATTGCACAAAAATCAAGTCACTGATAAATGCTAAACAAAAAAACTGATAAAATAACATTTTCATGTTGAAATGGCATTGTAACTCCCATGGGGCAAAGTAACCAAATCGGACTTAACAAGGACTATTGTTGGTGTCATTTATTGTTAGTTCCACAGACTTAGGGTGACCGAAGTGAAAGACCTATGAGCGATTGCCGATGAAGTTCTTGGTGTTACAAGCAAATTATTGGAAGCAGATGTTAAAGAACGAGGGTGTGGGTA